ACTGTATTAAAGGGTTGCGGCGTGAGGAAGGTTGAGAACCACGGATTTAAATTCTTAAGTGAGTGGAAAATGTAACCTTGGAAGAAAAAGGCCTATGAGCTTTTTGTTGTTGTTAATATAAATAGCAAATTATTTATTTTCTCCCTTGCCCTCATGTTTGAGGCATAAAGACAATAATCCATTAGGTAAACATTTTCTATCGAGTCATTAAAATTCAGATGTATAATTCCCTTCTTTAGATTAAGGCAGTAACCTGATTTTATGGAGTAACCGGGGAAGAGCTTTAGCTTTGTGACTATTTTCTTTGTAACTCTTAGTGAATCATGACTATTTCTGTGCTAAGCTAGTTTCCTTGTGAAAAGGTGTTTGTTTTTGTTTTGTTTAACAGGTGATATGGATCGGACACAAATTGAGCCCAGTTTATACCTCTCTTCTGCATTTACCGGTAAATTTCTTACATGAAAAGTTCTGACGCTTGGAGTTTTCAATTTCCTTTCTTCTTAATAATCAGTACAGTAGAGAGACTTAACTATACTTCTTTATTTTTGAAAATATCTATAAAATCACCTCAATTATAGAAATCCCTCTGTGCACTAACCTCTCCAAAAGGCATATGTTAGGGGCAGAAAAGAAAAGTGATCGTTTCCCTGTAGAGAGCGTAGAAGCTGTTGAATGAAAAGGCTGCAGGTGTGGTGGTCAGCACACTGAGACTAGCCGTCCATATCATTCCATCATTCCATCTGGGGGAGGTTGTTTGTTGGGACAGGACAGTGTTTAAACTTTGAAGTCAGTTTTAAACAAAGTGAAGCAGCTAGAATCTGGCATAAGAAGAAACAAATCTTTCACAAGAACTATCGCTTTTTAAGGGAAAAGGAGTTGGAGTTGTTTTCACAGGTGCTGGTCCATTTATTCTCCCTATCAGAATGGCTTCATTATAATCTTAAATTAGAAATTTGAAGACAAGCATTTATCTAGTCATTTTAAAAAAAGGAGCAACAACAGGAAAATTTTAAAATACAGTGGGATTTGTATGTCTGGAACATGTTTGGGGGCCAGACACTTTTAACATTTTCAGTCACCCTTTTAAACATAGTGACTAATTCTGGAAAGCAAAGTCAATTAAATATTACAAACTATCCTTAACACCAAGTGGCCCAGGCACCTTCTTCATTAAGACTTGTAATATTTGTTCTTAAGCGCAGAGGCTCTGGGGTTGCAAGATCGGCAGGGCTGGGTTAAGTGTGTGCGGAGAATTAACTACAGCAGGGTGGCTTAGCAGCAGCTTACACAAGCAATTGAGGGAAGACTAGATGAGCCCGAGGTGGTGGACAGGAAAACTGCTTCAAGAACTCAGGAAAACACAGCTGCAGTTCTGCAGCATTTTCCTAGACAGCTGGGAAGCAACTGCATTGCTGGAACTCAGGGCTGATGGTAAAGTCAAGGTCTGGTCGGCATGAATGTAAGCAAGCTGTCAGTCATGCGGAACCAAGCGATGCGGTTCAGCATTATTCTAATTCCCACTCCATTCCCGGCCTAATGCCATGGCTCCGTTGTACACAAAGGTGAATAAGGCACCTCGGTGGCTCAGTGATTGGGCCCTCAGAGGTCAGAACCCCAGGAGAAAGCGGTGGCGGTCTGCTGCTCTAACGATCACGAGGCGGTCGCACACTGATGAGTTGGCATCAACTGACTGGTAGCTGGTTTGGGTTTGCAGGACTGTCATACAGAGTACATATTAAATGAAAACAGTAGACCCCTGAGCAAATTATAATGCAAGATGAAAAGAGCAGCTAAAAATGTGGATATGTGAGCGCACATAGGAAGAAGAAACGGATTTTGTCAGAAAAAGTTATTAGCGAAAAAGGCCTGAGAGCAGGTGACATTTGGGCTAGAATACTAGCCACGAACATTTCACAGGTGGTCATTCGTGGAAGGTTGTCTAGACAGGTTGTCTAGACAGGTGTCTAACTGTAAGAGACAGCCCGCATCAGATTATTTTTCTCTATTACAGTGTTCCCTTATATTCATAGTGGCAGCTTACCCTAGTTATGGATGTTATTCAAAATGTATTTAATATGGTGGTAAGATGAAAAACCTTTGGTATAGAGATCATGAAGATGTAGAACTCCAAGACAGTTGCTAATAAGGAGAATTAGAGGTGATCCTTTATAGTTTTATTTTTAAATGCACAATTTGAGGGAAACATTTTTCCTCACAAGGTAGAAAAACCCAAACTTCAACAACTTAAAGCAGTCCCACTATCTATTGATCATTGTACAGACTGACACCATGAATCCCTATCATGGCTGGTGCCACCTGCAGTCCCCAGTTAGAATGTGAGGTGTGAGGTGTGGAGCTGCCAAGGAACATGCGCCCTACCTCTCTGCTCGTCGTCCGGTGTCTTAGGAGGCAAGACTTTGTCTGGATTCCTCGTAGTTTGCAAGTAACACATAGAATAATTGGCCACCACGTGTTTGAGCAGTCAGAATCTAAAGCCTGCTGAAGAAATGGGTTTTATCTAAACCTGAAAAGCTTTTAGGAAGCTCTGCTACATATATTTTTCAGCAGCCTCTTAAATGGACAGTTCAAACAAAACAACCCTGTTTCATTATCTGTATTCAGAATAATGAGTTTTAACTTTGTCTTTGTCTTATACGTCTAATACGATCAGAAAACAACACAATTCCTAGATAGATTTTAACTTTTTTAAAACACAAAATTATAATTTCAAATGTCTAAAATGTTACTACAATTTGTGGTAGGAAACTCTGGGATCCCCAGCTACAAATGTGTGCTGGGTGAAATGAGGTCCTACTGCAAACCCATGGAATCAAGAAATAGTGGTTTGTGTTTTTCTCAAACCTAAAAGCAGCTGTTGAAACAATGACATCATAGAGTTAGTGACCAAACCAATGGGAAAAAAAACAAAATAGCTCATTGCCATCGAGTCCATGCTGACTCACTGTGACGGTCCTGTGGGGTCCAAGACTGGAACTGTTTACGAGAGTAGAAAGCCCAGAGCTAGTGACATGACTTTGGAAATATAAAAGTCAAACTTGAAAAGCATCAAACTACATTTAATGTAGTAGAACATTTATACTTGCCCTTTAGTAGTGATTTATTAAGATATGTCTTTTCTTTAAAAAATTTTTTTTTATACTGTGAGCACCATAACTGGGTATGAAGGTTACCTGTTCATAATGTTCAAAAATAATGTTCTTTTTCACTTCAATCCTAATCAAAAGCATTCTCTTTCAAAGTTCTGAGACTTTCGCGTGCGTAAATGAACATTTCATGAAGACTTCCCCAATTGTACACTCACACACCCCTTTTGATGGTGCAGTTTACTGACATAACTTGCTGATTAAAACACAACTGCTAGAGTTAAAAATAGCTTTGCTGTTTGGAAGCCTTCCAGCACCTTGTTGTTATTGTTGTGGTTGCTGTATTTCACAAATCATTCTTAACCCCTCTCGAAGTCACACGGCCGTCTGCAGCCTGCCCTGAACCTCAGTGCCTCCTGCCTTATAGTCAGTCCCTCTCCAGGTGGAGTAAACTTAACAGCCAACCTTCTTGAGTGTTTCATGCGCCAGTGTGAGACCAAGTCTTTTTTATCTTATGTTTCAGTTAGCTTTCACAAAACCTGCAAGGGAGGTGCTCTTGGCTTTGTCTTATGGATAAGGAAACTGGAGTGTAGAGACGTGAAATAACTTCCCCAGACCTCTCCCTCTCATCACTGTCCTCCTCACCCTGACTTGTTTTTCTGTGTGGCACTGGCCACCTCCCGACAAATCTCATGCTCTTTTTCTTACTTGTGGATCATCCTCCCCAGCCCCCAACGAGACTGTGAGACGGTCTTGGTTTGTTCATTGTGTTGTTTTCCCGATTCTAGAAGAACGGTGTGCCTGGAAGAGAACGTGTACTCAATTGATATATTTTGGTTGAAGAGATGGATGAACCCATCTCTGACCCTTCCAGATCACTCCTTCCCACACAAACCCCCGACTTGACTGTCTGGGTAAGACCATCCCAGGTAACTGGATAACAAAACTCATTTGGACCCTGGGCTTGACCTGTCCTAAAGGGTCTTGTGTGTGAAAATTCAGCACATTTTATCTGTTCCTTACCGTTACGTACCACCAATCAAGTGGAATTTCAACCATCTTCAACCACCTTTAAAACAATATGAGATTCAAAATAATTCATTACTGTGGTTGATTAAGGTATTTGATATTGTGCAAACAACAGTGAGTTGTAGTCTCAGCTCTACTAGTTATGAATTGATTAAATGAATTGTACTAGACTTTCTTTTTGTTTTTATAATTTTAGGTGAATCGTTTTTTAAAAAACAAAACAAAACATTTTATTGGCACTTTGTCCACATATACAATTCAGTAGTTCGATCATACCAAGAAGAGTTGTACAGTCTTTACCACAATCAATTTTAGAACATGTTCTTTTTTTCCGTGTACTCGTTGTTATTCGTGTAATTTTTTTCAATGTTGGCAAAACTCTACACAACAAAAGACTAATTCAACAACTCCTACATGTATAATTCAGCGCCTTTTTTTTTTCAGTTTTCTTGATAAAATATTCATATATCATACACTTTTCACAGTTAAATTGTTTCCATAAAGAGTTGTACATGCATTACCACAACCAGCCCCAGTGCTCCTCTCCCCTCCTGTATCCACCATGTGCCCCCCAATTCCCCTCCCGCTCCCCCTGCCCCCCAGTTTCATTTTTGTACCTTTCCTGACTCTTCACTCTTCCTGGTTTCTTCTTATCTCCCTGACACCTGCTCCTCGTTTCCCTTCATTTGCTCTTTAATCACTTTTCTTTCTTGGTCCCTCTATCACATGTCTCTTATCTCTTCCGTCTATTTTCTCTCCCTGAGTGATCACTATTCTCATTGATCTAGTAATTATATCTATATGGGTTAAGAAATCCTGGTGGCAGAGTGGGTTACACATTTGGGCTGTTACCTACAAGGTCAGAAGCCCAAACCGACCAGCCGCTCTGTAGGAGAACGTTGAGGCTTTCTACTCCCATCAGGATCTAAGCCTTGGACACCCACAAGGGCGGTTCTCCAATTTCTTACAAGGCCACTAGGAGTCAGAATGGATCATGGCAGTGAGTTTGGTGTGTGTTTGTGTGCTCTCATTGATTGTTCATGCGAGTTAAGCATTAAGCTGCTGACCAGGTTGGCAGTTCAAGCTCAAAACCAGCAGCTCCTTTGGGCAAGAGAACCTCAGGAGCATCCTGCCTTGTCCCATCGGTCACTGTAAGTGGGAATCACCTCAACAGCTGTGAGTTTGCATCTGGATGCGGATAACTGCTAATTCTGTGTCTTTGCAACTGTCTTCCAGTCGAAAGGACCATCTACATGTTTTGTCTGTAAAATCCATCAAATATGTAACTATCTCAGTATCCCTCGGCTTCTTC